ATACATTAACGCACTGATTCAACGTTTAAAAATTTACAAATGTTCAATGGCGGCACAATATGAAATTTCACCTCTTTTTATGACAGGTGTACTGCTTATTAAAAATTGATTATGAGAACAAGGGTTTGTGAATCTTTGATGACTAGTAATAAATTGTAATCACATTAAACGCAAGCGAAATGATTTTACATGAACCTACGACCTCACAGTTTAATAACCAGAATTCGGAAAATCGGATATTAATATCAATATAGGATGTATTTATTTTTTATATTTGATAAAGAGTCGTAAATTTTAGCAAGTCCGATTGTGAATTTAATGAAAGGGAGCTTCAATGTGAGGGCGGAAGGTAAACAGTGCCTGTAACGATGATGCTGGTTTCGAAGCAATTTCGTCCCGTTGAAATTTTTATCAAAGGAAGGATTTCGTTGGTTTAAAAAGGGTAAATGGCACCGGATACCGTTAATTGCGTTCTGCATCAGGAAACGAGTTAACTCGCTTTTCAACTGCAAAATTGAAGGGAATAATGTAAAAACGTGTCCGATCATATCGCTTTGATGTGTTTTATCGACAACTTGTATTTATGATTGCTATGATTAAACGAGAGCAACATTTAGAAAATTTTAACTGTGGGTTAAGCTTTTAAATTTTAATTGTAGGCTTGGTTAAATGGATTTATTTATTTTTTTAATTTTAAGTTGACAGAATTATTATTTGGGAAATTTTAGTATTGGTTTGTGGACGATTAACAGTTTTTTTATTTTAATTTTAGTTAATGTATAATTTCGTTTTAAAAAGTTTCAATTTTAGTTAATTTTAGTATGATTTCAATTTAAAAAGTTTCAATTTTAGTTCAAAAATATGATTTAATTTTTTTAATTTTGGTTTCAGTTAATGGATGACTGAGTTTAAAAAATTCTTGATTTTAGTTAATGGATGATTACATTTTTACAAATTTTGATTTTAGTTAATGGATGAATAAATTTTAAAAAGTTTTGATTTTAGTTAATGGATGATTAAATTTTAAAGTGTTTCGATTTTTGTTAATTTATGATTCATATTGAAAAGATTGTTACTTCAGTTCATCATATAATTTCAGAAGTTGTACTGGAAGAAGAAATGAAGTTAGGTTATGTATCACAAAATGGCGTCTACTGAAATATACAGAGTAGAAATATTAAATATTGAAAGAAAAATATCAGAGATGGATTCGACGTTAGAAAATCATTGTAAAACTTCTACTAAAACGTATAAACATACAACCCTGAATATATTAAAAAATTATAACCTCAACTCGTTTGTAAATTTTAATTAATTCTATATTGCACGAAAACTCGCACACTTTCCCTGTATCCTTTAAAATTAAAAACTTTGTCTCAGGTAAAAAATGTCTAGATTAAAGTTCTTTTGAAGTAAAAATTAAATTATTTGAAGGTTCTACAAAACTAATACAATACTGCTAAAAAATTATTAACACTACCCCTTTTGTAAAAAATCTACTGTTTTATATTTTGTTTAATATTCTGTAGTTTTTTTAATAATATTGTATTTACATACAAACATTCTATAAATTTATTATAACGAATACATACGACATTGTATAAATATTATGTATTTATCATTTTAAAATTAGAATTAGAATTTTACTTTAATTTTTCTGTACTAGACATAATACATTACTGATTCAAACTTTATGCAACACATTTACAATGATCATTATAATGAAAAGATCTTATATTTAATAACAATAATTTATTCAAAAATTATCTTAATAATTCTTATAATTATTTATTCTTCTTTTTTACACAATCATTCACAAAAGATTGTTTTAACAGTAGCACCTGTTTTAATGTCCCTACAATCTCAAACAGTTTTGTAAACCTTGTTACATGATTCAGGACTTCACGTTCACCACATCTGTTAGGTGACTAACAATAAGTACAGTTAGTTACATTACATTAGCATGTATCTATCATAAAATGCACTCTCATGCTACAAACACATATTTTCTTCAGTTTCAACTTTCCAAAAGTCACCAAGCATGTGGTTTTATTATAATAGCATCAAAACTATTCTATAACCGCGAAAGTATTGAGAATAGGAATGTTCGTGCATTTCCTATCCAGAATGACGTTCCTGACAATGTATTAAAGTTTGTTGAAGTCCGAACCACAAGGTCCAAGAAACAATCTGTTTATGAATTCTATTGTCTGCGTTGAAACAAGCGCCGAATCCATCTCTGAAACTTTGGTGCTAAAGAAATTCCCAGTATAATAATACAATAATTCAGGGAGGACGATTGGTTGCCCTTACGAGGGGATCGAAGAAATTGCGGTTCTATGTACACTCGCGCGCAATGGGCTTCCTTTGAATAGGGAGATAGGTACAAACTTCACAATTTTCAAATCTTCGAAATTCATATTAAGCAAGTTTTTAATTTGAAATCTTTGAGTTTGAGGATTCTTGAATTTCCTAATTTTTACAAGTTTTCAAGTTTCCTAAATTTCCCAAATTTCTGTATTTTCATATTTTCATTTCATCAAGCTTTCATAATCCCAAATTTCCACGTTTCCACATTTTGATTTCCCCAGATTTCCACGCTTCCAAATTTCTACTTCCCCAAATTTCCACGCTTCCAAATTTCTATTTCCCCCAAGTTCCACTTTCTCAAATTTCCACGTTTGCAAATTTCTACTTTTCCAAATTTCCACGCTTCAAAATTTCTATTTTCCTCAATTTCCACTTTCTCAAATTTCCACGTTTGCAAATTTCTACTTTCCCAAATTTTCACGCCTCCAAATTTCTATTTCCCCCAATTTCCACTTTCTCAAATTTCCACGTTTGCAAATTTCTACTTTCCCAAATTTCCACGTTTCCAAATTTCTACTTTCCCAAATTTCTGTGTCCCCAAATTGCTACGTCCCCAATTTCCTATGTCCCTAAATTGCCAGCGCCCCCAAATTTCTATGTCCTCAAATTGCTACGTCCCCAATTTCCTATGTCCCCAAATTGCTAACACCCCAAAATTTCCACTTTCCCAAATTTCTATATCCCCAAATTGCTATGTCCCCATATTTCTACATCCCCAAATATTCGCTCTCCCAAATTTCTACACCCCCAAATTTCTCTCCCTACATTTCCGCACCAATAAACCTCAAAATTTTTAAAAATTCGCCATTTCTGTCCTTCCAAATATCTATTTTGTCCTCCATTTTAACCCACAGCAACCTATCCTTGAATTACCAACTCCAAAAGTCGTCCCAAATCTCCAAAACTATCACCCTTTTGTTAGTTTTCGTACAGACGCTAGATTTGCTATCGACTGTACCGTGAAACACTTTCAATTCACAGGAAGCCGACCAGGTGCCATTTATCCGAGAAACCGAGTAGTTCCACGTGGCACTTGAAACAAATGCGCCACGTGGGATAAATCGAAACCATGATGATTCCTATCCTCATAGTTTGCGATAGCGACTAGGGAGTTTCAGATAAAACGAGTCGGTTCGGTGGACCAGAAAGATAAAGAGCATTTCGAAACTAGCCTTCAACCCTTATGTGGTCAAGGTAGATCCAGTTGACTCATATGTAGACATTCTTCTTCTTTTATTTATAAATATAATTGTAATTTGCAAAATATTTTTTGAAAGATAAGAGTTTTTGAGATAAACTAGATTTACCTTTAGTCAAAATCGGTACAGTGAGTGTTGATTAATATTTTTTGTTATATTGTATTTTACTTGACCTCTTGGCTTATATCGTCTTGTGACACATTAGAGTTCACATGTAACAAATTTAAATTATATTTGCAAGAAGTTCGAGTTTCGTGTTCAATACTAATTATAATTTAAACAATTATAGATCATCGAATGCAAAATATATGTAACATTTCAATTTTGTTTTACTTATTTTAATATCAAAGTAATAATTGGTAATAATGCAACTGTGGAAATATTGGTTAAGAGGTTAATATTTGAGAACGTATGAACGTGACAGTTTCGTAACACAATCATTGTACATAACATCTGTATATTTTCATGTTATAACGTAACTATAACGTTCATACAGTTCTTGGCAAATATTGAAATACAATATGGTGTACGATCTTAATACCTTCGCTACCAAGTGTCACATGTGTGACGTCATAGGTCTAATCTCATATGTATGTTTGTAATACTATATTTTGAAAGCGACATTACGTAAGAATGAACGTGGGTGAATAATTCCATGTATGAGTGTAATTGGGCCATATGTGCATATGTGGATATATGTGGAGATATATGGCATATGTGCATATGTGGAGCATGAATTTATGAACGAAGTGACTGTAGATGAATGATGAGATGAATTTAATATGAATTTAATGAATGAATCAGTGAAAGAATGACCCTACAAAGTTGAGTAATTTTGAGATATAATTTTGAGATAGGGTTGCATGATATTCATATGGAATGTCTATGAACGACATATCAGTTAATGAACCTAAACGTACAAAAACAGAATAAAAAGATGTATCTATGAATGGCCTATATGTATAAAATCACTAATAACATCTATAGAAGTATTAGTAAATCCACAATAAAATTTTTAAATTAAAGCTGACAATTAATAATAATACATATCACATGAAATCATGAAAATTAAATACAGAGGTGTCCTAAGTACAGAGAAGGTAAAAAGCAAAATTATCCACAAGTAATATCCCAAAATTTCCTAAGAATAGTATAAAAAATAGTATACAATTCCTTATAATATTGACACTCGCTATATACCGCATACGAATGAACCTACCAAATAAGGGTTGAAATTAGTCGTAGCCGAAATGGGAATGACTTAGTGTTTGATATGTGGAGAGTCACGTACGCTTTGCACGCGCTTTATGTGTCCCGAGGAACGCACGAACAAAAATAAAACGCACCCTCGAGAGAAGGAGAGAGTTTCGCAGGTACGAATAACGATCATTGTTGCATCCCCTTCTCTTCCACCCCGACCCGCTCTTCTAGCATCGGGACACGCAGGAAACGCTGACAGTCCTCGACAGGTTGGACCTCGACACCGAGATGCCGACCGACGAGGAGCTGGCGAGGAAGTTCGGTTTCGAGGAGGCCTACTACCAGGGTACTCTTACGTGGTGGCAGAAGCTCAAACCTCAGATGTGGTCGCTGTTCGATGAACCCTACTCCTCCTTATCGGCTAAGGTGTGTAATTTAGTCTAATTTTAATAAGGTTGTTTAGTATAATTTTAATAAGGTTGTTTAGTATAATTTTAATAAGGTTATTTAGTATAATTTTAATAAGGTTATTTAGTATAATTTTAATAGGGTTATTTAGTATAATCTTAAGATTAAATTGAACAGTAAATTAAGGTTAGGTTATACCTTTACACTCGAGGTCTTCAGGGACAATATCTTAACCCTTTGTTTATTATAGGGTCAACACAATTTTCGCAGCAACACAATTTTCTGTAAGGCTAACTTGAATAACTTTGCAAATTAACATAACTAGTTGCAAATTAACAAAACTTTAATATTTTATTCTTGCAAGAAGAAGGAAGAAATAGACTCTCAAGTGCAAAGGGGTAATTTGTACAAATATTTTTATATCTACACAGATTTTAATCTCCAGGGATTAACCCTTGAGACCAGTTACTTCTCAGTTGCTTCTCAAATAAAATTAAAATAAAAAGAAATCAAGCAGACTTCAATTATTTATCTAGCTAAAAGTTAATATAAATTTTGACAGAATTTCTCAAGTTTTGAAACAAGAAATCTAAGTTCCTAATCTGATGTAAAAATCTCTCTAAAATCTAATATTATCCCTCCACGAATATCTTTATTCATGAAAACGCAATGAATGTTTGAACAGTACCTCGTACCGCAAATGCAAAGTTTCACCAACAAATTTTCTTTCACATTTAACCTATATTCCTACCATTAGTCTTATCAGCGCGGATTAAACTCGTCCTCTGACGTGAAGAATATGAACAGATAAGGCGGGATATTCCACTTCTCTCTTTAACTGAGCGAAACGCTGCGTCACTGACGCTCAAGTTACTATTTGAACTCCCATTTTTAGCGTGGTTTTTACGTGTTTAGACAATGACTATTATTATGCACTAGTTAACTAGTTGCAAATTAACAAAACTTTAATATTTTATTCTTGCAAGAAGAAGGAAGAAATAGACTCTCAAGTGCAAAGGGGTAATTTGTACAAATATTTTTATATCTACACAGATTTTAATCTCCAGGGATTAACCCTTGAGACCAGTTACTTCTCAGTTGCTTCTCAAATAAAATTAAAATAAAAAGAAATCAAGCAGACTTCAATTATTTATCTAGCTAAAAGTTAATATAAATTTTGACAGAATTTCTCAAGTTTTGAAACAAGAAATCTAAGTTCCTAATCTGATGTAAAAATCTCTCTAAAATCTAATATTATCCCTCCACGAATATCTTTATTCATGAAAACGCAATGAATGTTTGAACAGTACCTCGTACCGCAAATGCAAAGTTTCACCAACAAATTTTCTTTCACATTTAACCTATATTCCTACCATTAGTCTTATCAGCGCGGATTAAACTCGTCCTCTGACGTGAAGAATATGAACAGATAAGGCGGGATATTCCACTTCTCTCTTTAACTGAGCGAAACGCTGCGTCACTGACGCTCAAGTTACTATTTGAACTCCCATTTTTAGCGTGGTTTTTACGTGTTTAGACAATGACTATTATTATGCATTAGACATTGCTAGTTTTGTAACTTGCTCAGAAATCTTTCGCTTCTTTTTATATACAGTTTAGTTTTTAATAATTGATTACTGAGGTTGCTATTTTTTGAGCACCGGTACCGTGTCCTAACTGCAATCGCGAAATGATTTTATCACAAAATTTTGTGCATCTCGTATCTAGCTTTTACCTTTCTCTGTAATTTGTTCTTAAGAAAACTATGTAATTTCAGTACGTTACTGGTCTAATTTGTTACATAATGAAGTTATACTCTGATGAACTGTACTTTGCGAGACTGGGTACTTTAATAAGTCTCACGTAGTTTTAACAACTTAAGACGTAAAACACAGTGGACATAAAATGGCTATAAAACAAATGTAGTTGATGTTAACCTCTTGCCATATTTTGTCAAACTTGACTCGTGACTCGCAGTTCGAATGTGATGAACCTTACTCGAATTTTAAACACGCTTCAATTTGAAGTTTGAGTCCAATTGCATAGTCAGATCGCTGAATACAAAACTGTCCTAACATTTAAACTTTCTGTATTTGTTTCAATATCGTTATGGATAGTTTTGACGCACTTGACAAATCATACATCTTTATTAACACTATTGAAATTACAAATATGAAACAAACATTGCGTTTTCATAAATAAAAATAACATTCTGGCAATTATATTTAAATGAGACTTTTTGAATATCTAAATTAAGATACTTGAGATTCTCAAATATTTTAAGAAGAATTTTTAGGTTAGGTTTCCATACATTTTCTCTAAATTTTAAACTTCCTCTACCTTCAGATTTATCAAGTTTTCAAGAGCTGCAACATCTACCTTAGACGTTAATGTTTCTTGCCTCTGTTCTCATGTTACTTATTCCAGAACGTTTCATTAACAACAGAATTTAATTGCTGCGGTTTGCATTAGGGAAAATCAGGTGTGTTGGGTTTAAGCTTCACCGCGGAATCGTTAAAGGTGAACTGGTTGTCAGTTTGTGCTGTAATGTACGCTTATCAAAAGTTTGACGGCAACTTGTTTAGCAGAAACTTCGTAGCAGTTAAATTATACGCGGGAGACGTGTATAATCATGCTGAAACTTAAGAAACTGCCTCCAGGTAGCTTATCACAAGATGAAACCTTCTATTTTTGTATTATTTAAATGTTTCTCTGCTAAGTTCTGGTTTGGAGGGAATATTTAGTTTTACTAGTTTAATGCGGTAGAGAAAAGGGAGAATAAAAAGATTGTGTAAATTACTATACATAATGGTATATTTTTTATATCTTTAAGAATTATATCAGTTATTCATCGATTTCAGTCATTTCAGTGACTGTAGTACTTATTGATTAACTGTATTTACCCAAAGTTTCATTCTGACATTTGTGGCTTCGTTTTCGATATAATAACAGATTATAGATTGCCTAAATTTCTGGGAATTTGAAGATGTAGGAATTAGAGGGTGTAGAAATTTAAAGGAGATAAGAATTTCAGTAAATAAAAATTTGAGAAGACAAAAATTTGAAAGCTTGAAAATTTACATAAATAAAAATTTAAGTTAAAAATTTGAAAAAAAATATAAATTTGCTAAAAATTTGAGAACGTACAAATTTGAAAAGGCGAAAATATAAAAATATAAAAATTCAGAAATGTAAAATAAAGATTGGAAAATATCTAACAGAAGATATAAAAGTTACCCCATATTCAGCAACCCTCACACAATGTATGAATATACATATATTTTCGGAATGAAGAGTGAATGGTTTAAAACACGAGCCTCATCCAGAATATTTCACAAAACCTTGTCCGTACAAAGCAGATTGCCATTGATTTTTGTTCAGTAGATTATGACAAGGAAGCGAATGAAACTGAAAAGTTCCGAGTACCGTAACGACGGCTGTCGAAACGACACCAGTCTGTTGTAAACAAGTTTATGTTCAATGAAAAAGTTGTCTCCGATAGAGCAACTTTTATAGCGACTTTCCAATACTCTACTCATACCGCTAAAGCAATGAAATTTAGTATCCTCCTCGAGAGTATAAAATTATCATTGCGAGCTTCTGGAAACATTTACAATTTCAAATCAAAAAATGATTTGTTACACTTGAATAATGTACAGATGTCAACCCATGAGTTGGTGTAGGATACAAAGTAAAAGAAGCTCTATGAACACTTGCAGTGACATACAAATAAGAATAATAATGACAACTGCTGAACGCAAGTAGCATCTCACTTGAGAGACGTTTCAAGACTGTCATTGTTTTTCGCCTAATTGGTGTGCGTGACCACGAGAGCCAATCTACCGCCGAAAATACGTGCGAGTGGCGTCCATTTTTCTATTCTGACCAATTGTGCCGTAGCTACTTGGGTTGTACCGATTTGGAGATGTGGGAATTTGGGAATATAGCGATTTGGGGCTGTAGCGATTTGGGTGTGTGAGAATTTTGGAATATGGGAATTTGGGAATGGAGGGATTTGGGGAGGTAGGGATTTGGAAGTGTAGGTATTCGGGAATGTAGGAATTTGGGGGATTTGGAGATGGGGGAATTTGGGAATATAGCGATTTGGGGCTGTAGCGATTTGGGTGTGTGAGAATTTTGGAATATGGGAATTTGGGAATGGAGGGATTTGGGGAGGTAGGGATTTGGAAGTGTAGGTATTCGGGAATGTAGGAATTTAGGAATATGGCGATTTGGGGGTGGAGTGATTTGGGGATGTGAGAATTTTGGAATATGGGAATTTGGGAGTGGAGGGATTTGGGGATGTAGGGATTTGGCAAGGTTGGGATTTGGAGATGTAGGGATTTGGCAAGATTGGGATTTAGGGATGTAGGGATTTGGCAAGGTTAGGATTTGGCAAGGTTGGGATTTGGGAGATTTGGGATTTGGGGAGCTTGAGATTTGGGAGATTTGGGATTTGGGGAGCTTGAGATTTGGGAGATTTGGGATTGGGGGTGAGTGGAATTTGGGGTGAGTGAAATTTGGGGTGAGTGGAATTTGGGGAATTTGGAATTTGAGAGATATGGGATTTGGGAAATTTGGGATTTGGGGACATATGGATTTGGGAAGGTAGGGATTTGGAGATGTAGAGATTTGGGAAGGTAGAGATTTCGGATCATAGGGATTTGGGAAGCTAGGGATTTAGGAATGTAGAAATTCGGGACATTAGGGATTTGTAATATTAGGAAATTGGAGAATGTAGAAATTTAGGAACATAGGTGTTCAGAAGTGTGGAGATTTGGAAATGTAAGGATTCAGAAAAGTAGGGACTCGGTAATATAGGTATTCGAAGCTATAGAAATTTGGAGATATGGTAACTCAAGAATGTGGAAACTAGTATATACACAAATTTACAACTAGTATAATGATTTCGATATACGCTCTCCTAAACACCTGTGTCAGCTGCTTCACGCGCCAGCTCAAGGGTTGCCATCAATACATACTCCTCACTACATACACATAAATATATTCAATTCTGCACAATTTAAATTGCCATAGACTCCACTATATAATTAATACCACCTTTATTTCCTGAACATCTCTAAACCTCATATAAAAATTTCACTGCCTCTTCATCATAAGTCCAATTCTCTCACAATAAGATCACCATATAACTCTTAAAAGACAATCAATCGATAAAACGTTAAATTAGGATTAAATTTTCCACTTCACCTAAATTCTTTGAGTAACATCTCGTTTCATTAAAACTTCCCCGTCAATTATCCTTCGTTTGAACAATTATCGATCGTATTTTTGATAGAAAGCATAACCGAATCGACGTTAACTGAAATTTACTTTTCATATTACTTTCTTCCTTCTGCCTTTATTTTCGTTTTGTCTGGTATTATCTATGTTCTCTGTAATCCCCTTTCAACTATTATGATCTTCCACTTCGAGTTCTATTATCCCGTCCGGCAGGTTGACATGAAATTATTACAGTATCTTTTCGGTTGAATTTTCAGAACACGCTGATTAAAGTTGCCTTTACAATACATAGCTTCGTGAGTAGAAACGATTCTACTGCAGTAATGTCCCAGATTCGATCAGTGAATCGAAAATTTCGTTTATACGTCTGCGGTTTGTGTATTGATGTTCCTATTTTTGTGGTGGAGGTGTATTTAGGGGATCTTGGGATGAAGGTGTAATTGTTTGGATAGGTGCAGTATAGGGAGGATTTTTGTTGTTTTATTGTAGTTGGAAATTTGGGAGGTGTGGGGAGGAGGTTGGGGGATTTGGAGATTTGGGATTTTGGGATTTTGGGATTTTGAGAATTTGGGATTTTGGGATTTTGGGATTCTGGGATTTTGGGATTTTGGGAATTTGGAGATTTGAGATTTTGGGGATTTGAAATTTTGGAGATTTGAAATTTTGGGGATTTGGAATTTTGGGTATTTGAAAATTTGGAAATTTGAGAATTTGGGAATTTGAGAATTTGGGAATTTGAGAAGTTGGGAATTTGAGGAATTGGGAATTT